CTATCTATCTATCTATCTATCTATCTATCTATCTATCTATCTATCTATCTATCTATCTATCTATCTATCTATCTATCTATCTACACACACAAAAATTAAACAACATGCGTATAGACTTCAAGCTTTACTATAGCTTTTAATTTGGATTTGTTTGCCAAGTATTATAACCTATGCTTGTCTCAATCATGTTCAAAAAAACGATAATAGTCTGTCATGTCTTCCTTCCTTTAGTTAGTATTATGTATGTATACTTTATATATTAAGGTTTATTAAAGATAAAACTACCAAATATTCATTCAACGGCGCCATCTCGTGTTCATCCAGATGACCGCTCACCTTGAGTTTTCTCTCCGCTCTAATTTCTATTGGCTCCAGATCACTTGTCCCTAAGTGACGTTTCACCGTCCTAGTGGCTCTTTGATGTGTCCGTCATACGAGTTTACGGAACTGTATCCACCCACTACAAAGATGGAGGACGATATCTCAGATATGAGCAGACCACAAATGTACTTATTTGGTGAGCTCGCTAATTCTGACAAACCCGATTTTTTTGTTTGCACAATCAGTTTTAACGTCATGTTGTCATGCACAAATAGCCACTGGAGATTTTTAATCGGAAGATAGCTAAACAGCTGGCTAGCCTGCTTACCCCCTCCCACTCGCGCCAATTCAGCTCTTTTGTTAGCTAGCAGAGCATGGCGTGGAGCCACGTAAAGAAGCAAAATGTATATACACCTCTTTATCTGATAAAATGATATGCATGTGCGTATGTTTATTTAAGACAAGCGCAACCCACGGTTGGTTACACGTATTGTTTCCCCCTCAGGTTGCACCTTGAAATCGGACAAACGGGAATTCAAAGTTGACCTAGACGGCGATGAAACGGAGCAGCAGCTGTCACTGAAAGCAGTAAGAATCAGACTTTAGATCGAGTTTGCCTGGTCTTGAAAAAATTAATTCTTTGACTAATACGGCTATTAACTACGGAAGCCGAGATCGACATTGAGCGCTGTTATTCTTTAATGCTATACTCTCGCGATAAATTGTTATGTGTCTTGTAAATTCGTAATAACATAGTTTGTTTTATCGCGATAAGATATTAATTATCCAGAAATTGGGAAATGCCTTTGTTATGGCACGTGAAGATAAAGGTGTAGGCAATAAACAGAGAGAATAATATTACATATAGTATGTATATATAATTTAAAATATATCTACCCCTAAAAGACATCCACCCCTCAAAATTTCTATAATTCGCTTCCTAAGAGCCTATTATAAATTGGTCTTGAGCAATATTTCCTCAGGATTTCTGGAGGTCTTTCAAAGCTTTTCTTTGGAAATTTGGTGCTTTCTCACTCATTAGCTGTTCTTTTCTGAAAATCGACTACTTGCAGTCTGTAGCAAAAACAAATAATCTGTTACGAAAATGGCAAACATAAGAGAATTTGACAGCCATGTAGTAGGATTTTTTGTTTTTTTTGTTTTTTGCATTGACAAAGTGATTCCCGAAGGGCTATCGGCCAAAGTCTTGGCTTATGTTGACATGGTGTATACTGTTTCCTTAAAAACAATTGAGGAAACAGGACATGCAGAGGACCAAAAAAAAAGAAAGAAGTGGCAGTATGAAAAAACTATTTACAGTCATATCCTTAAGAAACAGGAAATAAATCCAGCAAAGACCTGAAACAGGACCTGAGACATCAGATCTTTCTTCCATGTACTAGTTACTAAAATCTTATCAGAAATTGTGTAAGTGGAAGGGTGGCTGTCGAAAAGCCATTTTAAAGGAAAGGAGATGGGGAGAAAAGTCTGAGGTATGCCAAAATACACAAGAACTGGACAGAAAGTGACTAGTAACAGGTCTCATGGAGAAATGAATCCAGATTTAACATTTTTGGTTCAAATTGCCTTATGTACGGATGAGGTCAGGCGAAAGGGTGAGTGTCGCTATTTCTGAAAAACAGAATGTAGAAAAAAACCTGTCAGATTTGTTAATGGCTTCATTTTTCATCCTGACAATAATCCAGAATACACCTAGTGCAATAAAAGCATATCTCAATTAAAAAAAACACAATGAAAGATTCCAGTCAGTCGTGGTTTGACCTCCCCAGAGCCCAGACCTGAACCTTATTGAAGCAGTGTGGGATCATCTTGACAGAACTGAATAAAAGGCAGCTGACATCCAAAGAAGAGCTTTGAAAGAAAAATAAATTGCATGTATGGCAAATATGGACTAAACAGACTTAAACTGGGTGTTTAGCCTAATCAGATGCATGAGGGAAGGCTGCTGGTTGAAGGATCAAAAAATCCCACATTGAAAAAAAACCCACTCCTTGCACCCTGACAATTGTTTATTAGAAGTTCCTTACCAGTAGTTTGTGAGCTAGTGAGCAGCGGATTGGAGTTTCGGCTCTATTTTATATTCTCCTGAGAACATGATTTCTGAAATGTTAACATATTGGATTTTTGGTATTAATTTATATTTATTTATTAATTTATTGTCATGGAGCATTCACAGCGTTAGTCTGCTAACCTTACTGATGCAGTAGGCTATTTATAGATGATAAAACAGGAGTTTAATCAGATTAACAGTAAAATTAACAAGAACAGTTTATGTTTGCACCAAAAAAAAAAAAAGAGAGACATTTTGCCAGTACATGGAGGTAGTGTTATATAGCACACTGTTATTTTGTTCCAGGTGTGTCTGGGAGCTGAGGCTGAAGATAAGTTCCACATGGTGGAAGTTGAAGGCCTCACTTACGACGGGAAGACGACAAAAGTGCCGCTAGCTGTCCTTAAACCTTCCGTCCTGCCCTCTGTGAGTCAGCACCAACACTGACAGAAGTATTTAAGAGGCTTCTGGTTTAAATTAACTTGTTTTTACGGTCTTCATGCCTAATAAAAAAGAGAACTAAAAAGAAAAGGCATTTTCTCAGAACCATAAATACAAACATTACACTGTTCTGATAAATATAAATAATTCATAAATCGTTGACAAAATACTTATAATGTCATCTTCCTTCCTGCTATGTTTTTCTCCAGATGAGTTTAGGTGGATTTGAGATTACACCTCCAGTTACCTTCCGTCTCCAGTCTGGTTCTGGACCAGTTTACATAAGCGGGCAACATTTTATTAGTGAGTATTAAGGTTAAGACTCAGGTAACTATTTGCCTCATTGTTAAAATAAAGTAGGCATACCTACTGAAGACCTTGTCAGTGGAAAAATAGCAAGTTGTAAGTCTGACCTTCATGCTCGGTAAAACAATACAGGGTCAAATTTTCCAGCCCGAAAAAGGTCCACATATGACTTTACACTTAATTTTTTGAGTAAGTTTTTCTTCTAAAACAATGTTTTGGGGTAAAATAACATAAAGAAAAGTTGTATGATTGTTTGACAATATGTTGACCAGTGTGTTCGCTCTGTCAGGTGTGAAGGAGTCTGATGACGAAGAGGAGGAGAACAATTCGTCGCCGGTAAAGCGGCCTGCAAATCTGCTGGCAGGGAAGAAACCCCCAATGGTAGTTATTGACATTGTCGTATTACATTGCTTTAAATGTTTTATGTTTGCACTTATAGCAAAACTAATCATTGTTTACAGAAATTGTTCTCCTGCCGAGGTGGTGGCTTACTGCATAGCCTTCTGTTTAATGGTTGTCACGTTTAGTAATCGGTGATAAGATGCTATCGCGGGACGTCAGCATTAAAGTGCACTGTTCCTTATTCTGACACCCCAAATAAGCCTCAAATGTTGTTTTTGACAAAAAGACGATTCATATTTCTTGTAGAAAAAGCTGAAGATGGATTCTGATGATGGTGACGATGATGATGATGAAGAAGACAGTGATGAAGATGATGATGAGTATGTTTTTATTTTATTCATTTATTTGTTTATTTAATTGGCTTAGTTTTCTAAATAATTTTGCATTCTAAAAGATAACATCTTTGTAAACTCATAGTATAAAATCTATTATTTTGTGTGTGTTTTTTTTTTAAATTTTGGGCACAAACATCGAGCAGTGTAGCTTTTAACCAGCTTACTTGCTTCTTGTAGCGATGATGACAGTGATGAAAATGATGTGAAGCCACAGAAGAATGTGGGAAAAGTGATTACAAAGGTAAGTTTCATCTGTTTTGTTTTATTACAAATAACAATCAACCTTTAGGTTCTCCATGTTAAAAAATGTGAGAGTAGGTTTGAGGTACAATCAAATATGGAGGAAAAATGGTCAAATAAAAACATTTGTGTATCATGGAGTTTGTGATAAATGTAGTTTGGATTTGTAATCTTGGAAAGAAAGTGACTGGAAGTTTCTTGAAGACATCCGAGGAGCTTCTTGAAAAGTGAAGAAGCTTGCTTTCTTTCCAAGCTGCTTGGACTAACTTGACCTGGATGACTGAGAACCTACACAGACATATCATGTGCCTGCTTTCTGCATCTTTGATTTGCTTCATCAAACTCGTCTGACTTGACGTTTATAAACCTTCATTTGTTTATAAAAATGCTGCACACCAACTGGCCCACTGAAAGAGTGTTATTGGAACGTGGCACCAGATAAAGCCTGGATTATACTTAGGTTGTGGACACAGACAGCTGGAGACTCAGTGGCCAAGTACTGATTCCTGTGATGCTTCTTTGAAGTCTGCCGCCTCGAGCGTCACCAGGACCCAAGTGGACTTGTACATGCAGAAAGTATCATTTCTGTTTAACCCCAGTCATACAGCTTGAAGGAGAGAAACATACGATTCTGTCCTTGCTCATTTAATATTAACGTTAGTGTCATTGTAAATAAATAAAGAGGACTGTTTACATTTCATAACCATTTCTGGAAGTATGTTTGGGAAACGTTGCTACAAAATTAATATGAACCAGTGCTCATCAGAATTTAGTTGTTTTTTTTAACCCTAAGAACATAATCAGCAGTTAAATTGGAATATCTCTGAATATTAATAAAAATTGTTTAACTTTTTAGAGCTTCTGTCCAGAAAAAACTTTTTATTTACAACTTTTTAGTTAAAGAAAACAACAATAAAAAGCTAACAAAGAGATGCCATCACCATCAGTGTCTCGAATTTTGCTATTTAAATCATATTGAACCAAACATTTATCATGTAATGTACTGTGATGACCGTTGCCCTTTAAGCTTGGTAAAAAACACAAGCAGATCATTGCGGATCTTTGTAGTTCTCAGTACCTGAGAGGAAACTGCCATGATCAAACTACTTTTCCATACACAGCGTTTTCATTGCTTTGTTGCGGTCATAATTACAGAGAAGGGCAAGTACATTTTGTTTATTTCCACTCACAGTGAATTGAGTTGTTTATTGCTTTCTTGCTTTCTTTTCTATGAGCTTTTTAAGGCACTTGATAGATTAGTAGAGCTAGAGCAATTCTCAGGGTGCTGTTACCCCCATTTGAGAAGCTACTATCTGATAGGCTCGGATAATTTGTATTTGACAAAATTCATTAGATGCAAGGACACATTTTTCCAGCCTGTCTTTGAGAGCTGTGGATATTTCCACATCTTAGTTTCACTTTTAGTATTATTGCATAAACATTTATTGATCTTTTGTTTATTGACTCATTTGTTCTGTCATTTTAGTTCAAACAAAGTTTCTTGCGGTTCAGTAACTCTGATTTTTACAGTGGAATGTATTTGTGTTTCTGAGCCTTTGTTGTCCACTAGATGTCAGGGCAGCCATTAGCGTCCCCTTAGTGTTTGTTTGTGTGTGCGTGTGTGTCTAGAAAGAATTTCTCTAACCCTTTTTTTTAACCACATCATTTAAACTTCCACTCACTGTATGCTACAGTAGCATTTCATTTTAGCAGGCCCTCCCCATTCGTGCACTCGCTGACCGTCCACCTCTTTCTATGAGACAAAACATGGAACTTTTTCATCCTGTTCGCTCAAGTACCCACCTGTTTTCCTAGAGTAAAACACAGGGTCTGTGTGGTGTAATGATCGGATTTCTTCTCTGTAATCTGCTTGAATTCTCACCGTCTCACCAGCAAGACAACAGTATGTTATGCTGTGCGTAAGCAGACACACACACACACACACACACACACACACACACACACACACCCATATAAAGGGATAGATACACTTTAGTAGACATGCACATTTGAACATATAAGTACATATAACCTCTAGCGTAAATGCACAAAGTCTGCAAACATATGCACTTAATTCTGGTAGCGCATAAGCAGAGAACTGCACTCTACATACTGTTTCTCACCCATGCGTGCTCACACGCACATGCACTTCAGTTATGGGAAACATCTTCAACCATTTTTCTGAAACACTGCATATCTTTGTCCCTCTGTCATCCCACTGTTAATATGATTGCTCCTTTTTATCGTTTCTCATGCCATTTCAGCTTTGCACCTGGGTTTTGCCTTTGAACACTTGTTTTGCATGTTACCACAATCGCTTGCAAGTGTGTGGGTGCGTGTGTGTGTATCTGCCTCATTTTTACGTCGGTGTCTGTTTGTGATTTCATTCTTCTATTTTTTTTAAAAGCACGCTATCCAAGTGCAAACTCTGCCAGGCAAAAGATCAAAGCAGGGCAGATGCGCATACCTGCGACGTGAGCGCCGATCCTTCCCTCAGGGTCAGATGACAGCTGAGCATTTCTGTCACCTGTTGATTTATTCTGTTGTCTTCTCTTCCAATTCCTCCTGCACCCCACACCCCATTCCTTCCATGACCTTAATCCTTTTTTTCACCCTTCGTCTCTTTAGCTCAATAGCTACCCTGTCTCATTCTTTAATAATGAAAGCACAAAGCTTTGGGGAAGTAGGGCTGGGAACAATTATTATCCCTTTTTTTTTACTGCTAATTCAGCTGTGTTTCAAGCTATATTTTGCTTTCTTTTTCTTGTCAAACCTCCATACTGTACTGAATAGGACCCAAAATATCTCAGACATATTCAGTATCAAAATTGAATCAAATCCTTTTTCATATGAATCTACATTTCTTGTTATTATTCGATCATGTATTTTTGATGAACAGGTAATCAGGATATTAAGCTGTTCTTGTGTAGATTAGTATCGTCACGGAATCTCACGTGTTTTAAATAATTACACACTACTTTTGTGTTTCTTGCAACAGATTTGTACAGGGTTTATAAATGTTCTGTACTCAAATTTACTGGACAGCAAATTGCCTATTGATTGGAAGATTTCGTGCTCTCTCTAAACACTTAATATCATTATTAATGGACTGTAATAACTGTTGAGCCTGTTGAAAGACTGGAAAATGTTCTTTACTACAAGCTGACACGCGTGTCACTCATCTCATCATCCTTCAAGAGTTGGTCTTTGGTTTCCTCTTTCTGTGAATGGGTCTTAGTGCTTTGTAGCAACATGAGCGCTCTAAAGTCGCACCCAGAATACCTTCATAACTCCTGAGTTGGAAAGAGATGGTAGAAAGGTGTGAAGAAAACAAAAAAACAATGGAAAAACAAGAGTTTCCGAGGTCATCCACCTGCTGACATATTACAGAATCTCTGTGTTTGGGTAGATGTGGTAGATATTTTTGATTAAACTTTAAAAATTGCAAGAGTTGCAGGTTTGCATTGGTCGTAAAGCTCTTTTTGACTGGGTACCTACATAACCCTAACCCTTGGTATAATCGTTGTGCTCATCCTAATCTCATTCAAATTTCTCCACAAATTTTCTGAAATACCCCCAACATTTTTGGGGGTATTTTAGAGGTCAGGAGATTCAGATGGTTGGTGTAATCTAACCATATAATACAGAAAAATGAGATACAAATGTTGATGTACAGATTCTGTTTGGTAGACTCAGATGCATCCATGATGATGTTTAGTTTCTCTTGATTGAATTTTGTCCTTCAGGAATTAAGGCTTTGAAACCTCACTGTTACTTCCAGCATCTTATATTGCAGGCGTTGCTGTAGGATATTACATGTGTGATTGCATTGTAGCATTTGTGTCAACACAGGCAATTACACTTCTAGTCCATTCCAAGGTGAATACCAGTGATTGCAAGAAAGGATTTGCTGCTTAGGATATTCAGGTACTTGCCAGCTTTTCCAAGGTAATTACATATGTGACTGAGAGCAATCAAAACCTGATGGGAAGGAATCCAGTGCAACAATTACAGGTTGTCTGGGTACTAAGTACCTGATCAATGAGAAATCACTAATTAAGTGTAGTCCTTAATTAGTGATTAGCACTATTAAAGGTATGCTTTTAACATACAAAGGAAGGCAATTGTTTTGCTGTCATATCTAATTAGCTGCATAACCTTATAACTGATGCTATTTCTTTTCTTTTTTTTGGTTTAGGTTTTACTTTTCTTGGCCTTTCTCTTGTGCTTTTTTATGCACACATGAAGCAGTAACACCTTATAGGAGTGGGAGAAAATATTGTGACAAGTCATGGCAAAACAAGAAATGGAGTTACTGCAAATGAGGATAATGTTTTGTCACTTGCCATTTATTATTTATCGGCTATAAAAGGGGGGCATTGCGTTTAGCAAGAACATCAGTGGGATACAGATTTTTAGAGGGTTAGGAAATTGTAAATGGCCAGCAGTCTAAACTGAGCCACATGTGTTGCATTGAATATTTAGTTAGTTGAGTTGGTCAGAACACGAGGGCAGGCTTCATTGAGTTGTCAGCAATGAACAACAGCAGTTAAGTAACTTCAGTCTGTCACTTTTGGTTTTGTTTAGCGTGATTAACTGCCACTAGCTGTTCTCACACATAAATTCTAAAAATGATCCAAACTTGAATTTTCTCATTTACAGCACACAGCAGAAATAGTCTGATTCAGAGACAGGGTGTGCCCTGGGTAGAATGTGTAAGATGCATGATGCCCCCTCAGTCGCTCTGAATTTACTAGACAATTACCAGCGCTAAATCCGCGTGGACATAGTCTTTGTACAAAGGAGCTGATAGGTTAAAAAGCTTTACATGTTCCAAACAATATCTCTGTCAGATAGTATGAAGGAAAGCTCAGGGCTGTAGTGCATGCATTAAGAAAGCATTAACATCTTTATGAATTTCAGGAACCCGGTGTGGTGAATTGAGCTGTTTAAAGTACACACATTTCTATGGAGCTCTGAGATATCTTACTGGGAATGTTGTTCATTTCCTCAGATCCCGGAGTCCTCACCTAAGAAGCCCAACAAGACTCCAGTAAAACAAAATGGCCCTGCAGGAAAAGCCTCAGGATCAGCTGTCAAACCACAGATTAAGGTATGCCCAAAAGATTTCCGAAGTAAATCTTTGTTTACCTGCGGTTGGCTTGTGGGTATTTAAAATACCCAGTTGTTAACCGTTGTACTCGAGATCAAAAGTGTTTAAGAAAATGTGTAACATTGCAATTTTTAAAGGAATTTTTTTATTATGTCACTAGTTACAGCAGGGTAAAGTCAAAGCCAGTAGTTGTATTTCTAAAGAAATGTGTCATGTTAGGCATAGAAACAAGTATACAAACAATAGATGATGAAAAGTTTTACAGAAGAGTGGATAAAAAAAGTACACAATTACATAATGTTTTACAGAAGGTGAGGGAACTTTGCTAAATTGGTTGTTTGCATTTACTGCCATTATCAATTGAAAAAATGCAGGCTCACCAAATGGAGGGGAAAAGACACACAAAAAACTTGGAGAGCCTTCCCATTCCAAAGCCAAGGAATGTGATAAATGCACGGTGCAATTAGTTCAACCTGATAGTTAATTTCTTCGATGGAATGTCTTGGACAGCCACTTCTGAAAACCTAAAGCTTGAACTCTGCCTGTCTTTAAGCAAACACACCTGACCTCTAAACGGGTTTCCTGGGGCAAGGTTTAAACCTGCGACCTTTTAGCTTGACCTCGCCATCTTAAGTTGCAGCCACCTTTGATGCCCCTCACCCCTCTGTAGCTCGCGCACACTTTAAGAAAAACAAATTGTCAAGCTTCTCTGCAGGTTTACATACTTCTTAAAGCATGTTACTGTGAAAGAAAATGCTTCGACAGAAACTCGGCTCAGATAAGGTGTTACGTGTTGGCATGCGAATGTTGTCTGTTTGTATGATAGAAACATGACTTGCGCTCACTTACGCAGACAGGGCGCGTGAGAAGATTATCGTTTCTCGTCTGACATCTTGATGGAAAGCTTTGTGATTTTTTTTTTTGTCATGTTAAACACTAAGCCACAGGATTACCGAACCCCTGAAGGTGTAGTGCCCTGAAGGGCATGCTGTATGCAGTTTATAATGCAGTAGTTGTTGTCCAGACATAACACAGCGACTCTTGAAATGCTCTTGGGGATTAGCCAATGGGCAACTAAATCGCCCCAAACCAACCTGCTGGTTTAACTTTCTTGCCTGTGGTGCTTTGAATGCTTCCATCCCCTCTCAGCTTCTTCACAACTGTTCTCTCTCCACCACCTCTTCACACCCCTCACTTCCTGGACACACCTTCTCCCAATTGCTCTCATTACCAGTGTTTGATGTCTGGTGCAGCTTGTGCTTCCAGATGCCCCTGAGGAGCGAGGAAGCGGGTGTGGGTGTCTGTTTTTTTCGTTCCTAAATGCAGGTGACTGGTCATTAGATTGGCTTGTCAGATCTGTTGCCAGTACCACGGTTCTCACCTCTCACAGCCCAGCGTGTAGCTGCACCTTCTTGTATAACAGGCTCGACGTGAGAACCAGCTAACTCGAGTTGCGCTGATCTGAAGTAACTTTATCTTGCAGCTGGTGTCGTTTGATTGATGGGTTTGGCGAAGCCGATGCCTTCGAGCACACGTCAGAGTCGTAAAGTTGTTAACTACTTCACTCAGCCTTATCCCACAAGGGTTTGAGTCATTGTTTTAGTGACTGATTGGCATGTGTTACAGCAGGTGCATATCTTGTAAGTGCTTTAATATCTTTTGTCAATCTGTCATTTTACCATTTGGACTCAAAGATAGACCAAAAGATCAACTCATTAAAGTACCTGTACATACAGAGGCTTTATAGGATGAGAGTCACTTTTTTTCCGTGTGACCTGACATTTTCCCCCTACTTGTGCCTCCAAGGTTTTCATTCCAGCAAAATGACAATTACTATCCCTGAACAGCCCTGATGAGCAAAAATGTCACAACCATGTATTTGCACTGGATTGACGATGAGAGATTACATCAAATGATAGCGTGCTTGTGATTAAGTTCCATGTCTCATGGCATCTGTAATCAGTGTCTGGGCCAGATGAAAAAGCTTGTTGGCTTTGTGTGTTTATCAGCTGTTTCAGGTCCACAGCTGTCCCTTGGAAGTGGAGAGCTGCCTGTAAATAATAAACGTGTAGTGCATTTTTTTGGCTAGGAGCCAGAAAAAAGGCCATTTTCTTAGTGTGGTATGTGTGTGCCAAGGTTTTGTTCATTTTATACCTTTTAATCTCTGCTATTAAAAGAGAACCTTATCTCTCAGAGGCAGGGACAGGGCATTGTGGCTACACGTGTACGACTAATTACAACATTTTGGGTCTGGTATTTGGAAGATGAGAGCTTCTCCTGGAAGGCCTGTTAAACTTAGGTTATGCATGGCAAGACATTACATATATTATGTTATGCAGTTACTGTTCTTTTTTTGCAATCAGCACATTTTGACTCAGTATCTAAAATTAAAGATACATATAATGACCACTAGTTCCAGTAGGAATGACACTACAAACATAGTGATTTCTATGTCCTTGTTAACTAGTGAGCTGCTAGATGTCACCATGAAATAGTATAGTGTCGTAATGCAGGCACACAGACATACAGTTGGTTGACTATAGAGTGGGTATAGAGTTTCTCTGTACATCTATACACTGTCATCTTTCCGATGTGTCTCTGGCTATCAATGAAACCCTGCAATTTCGCTGAATTCCACACTCCGCTTTGCATGTAGGGGCAAGCTCCATGGCTTGCATAACATGCAGTAACAGAGTATGGCGTATGTGTGTTTTTGTTGTGTCACATTCAGACACTTGCTAATTGAGGACCTGAGTCGTTGGCTGCCCAGGTCTGGACACACCTATTGGCCTACTAGTTCAGTGCTCGCACTTCTCTTCCTCAGAAACACAGCAAAGTCTTTGTGTTTTGAAATAAAACATTTACTGTTGCAAATCTGGTGATAGTATTGTTTTTTTAATCCTGACCATTGGTAGTAAATACAGTACTGTGCAAAATTCTTGAGCTACACATAATTTCTTTATATTTTGAGCGGCAGAAAGCAAACTCTGTTTTTACCTGATATACTGTATTTCCATTTATGTTTACATGTTTCAATAAATCACTGCACCTGTTTTCCATTTTCCAATGAAAATATACAGAAATGAGTGGCTGCTTTTTGCCCAGACAGTACTGTCTGTTGAAAAGAAAATCTGTTGTTTTATTTGTGCAAATCAATAATTTGATATTCAGTAGAAATCTTTTACTGACAGCAGCCATAAAAGCTAAAGTTGCACTTTTTTTCTTTTGAATTCAGTGTTTGAGAAACTTTTCTTCAATGGAAAACACTTGACAAACAACCTGAATTGCTCACTGGAGAGTCAGGGCTTGCCCTCTCCTGCTTGCAGACAATAAAAACATAATTTGTACCTGATGTATTTGTTAAAAAAAGCATGATGGTGTAATTAGGCTAGAATTTGTTGTCCTCTCCAATTCTTTTATCCCCTTCCAGCTGGTTGCCCACGCCAAGGCTTTAAACACAGACCAAGGCTAAGTGGGTCACAACAGGGCTTTTGCCCAGACTGGCCTGTTGGTCAACAGATTAATTAATCAGCAGCATGCTAAATTTAGCAACTGTGTGTTTGGTTCATTTTAGCAAAATAATACTGATGGCAAGAACTGAGCTTGTGTTAACGATGAAATGCTGTGGCATAATCCGAAGCCATCATTTTATCTATAGCTCTGTAAATTTCTAGTGTCTTATCTAGCTGATGTACTTTTCCAGACACCTGCCCTGGGAAAAGACAAACAACAGCCCGGCCCATCTAAATCTCTGCCTGAGATTAAGAGCAAGTTGTCAACTGCAGCCAAGGAGGTAAGGCTGCTGTTTTTTTATTTGTTTTTAAATGATCCTTCATAATTTAATGACAGTTAAGATTATGATGATTTAATTGTCCTTTTCTTCAGGGAAAGCCACTTCCAAAGACAGAGCCGAAGTTTGAGAATTACTTGAGAAGTGCTTTTAAAATCTCAGACAAACAAGTAAGTAATCTTTGTACAGTGTTGTGAGAGCTTTTTGCTTATGTAAATTATTAAAGCGGACCTGTTGTGCTTATTTCCAACTTCATGTATATCTTTTTGGGCCCTTCTAGAATAGTTTTTCATTCCTCACAGTTCAAAATAATCTTTATCCAATATGTTGGAGCAGCCCCTTTAGCTTCCATTTAAGCCAGCGTTTGTCCGATTGGCTGTCCCTTGTAAATAAAAGCTTTGAATAGCAGGTGAGAGAGGCCTGTGCTCACACCTGATACATGCCTGAGATGAGCATAATAAGGGATGTGTATATGTGCTCCCTTTAAGTTTGTACATTTTTATCCCATGTGCAGTTCTCATCAATTTTCTGCTGTTCTGAAGTCTGTGTAATCGGTCTCGTAAACGCTCACCCGAGAGTGGCTGTTTTCCGCCAGGTTTCTAGGAATACTCCTTCAGATGTAGAGTGTTAGCAGTCGCATTTATGCCCAAACTCATTTTATCTGTAAGAGCTCATTGCCATGATGTATAACCGGGCATACGTTATTCTTCCTCTCACTCTCCTCATACCTTATTCTGTTCAGTTTGCCTCAAATGTTTCTCCAGCACAGTGTGTACTCTTTGAATTATATTCACACTGTTTCGGTGGGCTCTTGCGAGATGGATTTGGGAGTACACCTGCCAAGGCAAACTCTTTCACGGTGATTTAATGGAAGTGTGTCTTTTGTAGCCCTAATGAAGCGACTGGTGGTATGTGCGTGGTACCAGCCTTTTTCGCTTTCAAGGCCTTTGACCAAATGCAAGCCTTAAATCTTTTCTAATGCGGCTTCTGTCGTTTCAGAAGAAAAACAACATCCCCTGCACATTATTTTGCAAAGCATGAATTAATCACCCTTAAACCCTTAGATGATCACTGTAGACTTAATGATTCTGGGCAGTGTGTCAGATAGTGAAGTTGTGTTTTCTGTATTAAGGCATCTGTTAGATGGCGATCACTTGAACCGAGCTATTTGAACATTCATATGTGATTGCTTTGCAGTGTTTAAATAATAACTGTACAGTTATGAGAGCAGGTGAAAGCTCTTTAGAGCGGCACATGGGTTGGGTGGACAAGGGAAAGAGTGGGGGTGGAGTTGGGTCAGGGAGAGCTTGTTGATCCCACTGTGTAGAAACATCTGTGGAAGTGCTTTGGTTTCATCAGCCAAGGCTGAGATCTGTCAGACCTGGAGCACCTAGTCATATACTCTGGTATGTAATGCTGCCCCCACCCAGCCCCTCGTCGTTCCCCCAACAGCCCCATCCAAATTCAGTGTTCCCACAGCCGAGACGCACAAAAGCATGTTGTAGTAAAAGTGAGTCATGTGTCTCATGCTGTATAGCACTTCATTTAGATAATTTGTAATTTTTCTCTTTCTTTCCTTGTTTCTTATTTTGGTGTTATCCCTCTTTTCTCTCTCCTTCCACAGGTGGTCAAGGATCTTTGGAGTTTTGTGCAAACCCTGAAGACTGAGAAGAAGTAACATACACATACATTAAAGCATTTGTACATTTGCATCCTATAAGGCATTTAAAGGCACAGTCGGCTAGATTTCCTAATCGGTCTCCTTCTTTCAGCCCTGTGAAGGACTATGATCAAATGAAAATGGACTGAGTGCTGAAATATGGTAGAGCCATCAATGCATAGATTTAGGTGTCAATGTTTTTCTTCTTCGTTTTTTCCTAGATTGAAAGGACCAACTATTGAGTTGGTTCTTTCACAGACTCGATTCATGTTTAGCAGACTGTAGATTTGCTGCAAGGGGAAGCTGCATGCATCATAATGGGCGGGGTCTGTGTTGCTACTACAGGAAAGGAAAAGTTTCTAAAATTTATACTACCTGCAGATTTATGTAGCTCCTGTGTATCACTGAATATGATCATTATTAGTTAACAATAAATCTTGTACTTGAAGTATTCAAAACCAAAACCAGGCCAAACTTAGAACCTAACCTAGTTAGTAGTTGCTAATTCTTTCGTACGCCCTGTTGGCAAAACAGTATTATTTTTATACCAGCAGAAGGACTCACTAACACAAATGTGCTTGACAAAAAGTAAACAAAATTTTGAAACTGTTGAAACGCTGCCTGCAGGGCCCTATTTCAGGAAGCCGGTTTAGTGCAAACTCTGAGTAAGTATACCCTGAGTTAACGAAAACTCTGGGTTTTCGGTTTCACAAAGCGAGTTTAGATTAATTCTGAGTGAGTTACTATGACGACACACTCCGTGAAGCTAACCTGCCCCCTAGCAGGTTTACTTCAACTAACCCTGACTTTCTCCGCCTCTTTGTCGGAAACCTGACTGTAGGAAGTGTCAGACATGGCGTGCTCCTTCCTTGAAGAGCCAGTAGATGTTGAAGCCCAAATTCTCCGCAGAGCTCTCCGCCGGGAGAGAGTGATTAGAGCGCGTTTGGACATTTTATCATTTCCTGATGATTTTCTGTGTGAACGTTACCGTTTTTCAGCACAATCTATAATTTATTTGAATAACATCCTCAGGCCTAATATTGCTCATGTGACACATCGCGGACATCCTCTCAGTTCTGTACATATTATTTGTATTGCACTTCGGTTTTTTGCAAACGGGAGCTTTCTGTATAATATTGGTGACGCTGAGCACGTTTCCAAGGCTACCGTCTGTCGGGCAGTCAGGAATGTTACAGTTGCACTGAAACGTCTCCTGTACTCGTTTGTGGTGTTCCCCGGTCATAGACCCACAAGATTTATCAAAGAGGGATGCCACAAAATTGCAGGTATCAGGATGAACGAAACTTAATTCATGATGTGGTGATATTTGAACTACTACTTAAATTTTACATTTATTTTCAGGGTTCCCAGGCGTGATTGGCTGTATAGATGGCACTCACATTCCAATCATTGCTCCTTCAGTAAATGAAGGAGACTATGTGAACAGGAAGTCTTTCCACAGCATTAATGTACAGGTACATAGTTCCCTGTAGCATTTCAAACTAACAAATTATTTCATTATAGTAATGGATGCTAATTTGTGTTCTCTGCACTGTGAAGATCATATGTGATGCTGCCAACATTATCACAAATGTGGAAGCCAACTGCTCAGCCTCTGTGAGTGGTGGTGGTGGAGGACCCCCACCTGTTTTTCGGGCCTCCGCTTTTTTTCTGTTGGCTATAACGGGTCACATTTGAGCATACAGAGTAAGCAAATATGTACTTGTAATGTGCTCAGATAATTTCAATAAGTGCTTACAGAAAGAAAATTAATGTAGCCTCTAACTGCAATTGATTTACATCGGACAAACAGACCAAGCACTATGGCTCATAATACAATTACACCTTACCTGTTTGGACTATATTTTTATATTTCATTTTTACTTGCTGCCAGGAACGTTTGGGGCCTGTTGGGTTGCACCTGCGCTCACATCACATCACAAAATAAAATGTATAAAATAAAAATAAAATATAATAAAATAACGTGTTAAATGGGTGGAAATCCCTAGATCAATGTTTAAATTAACACTCACGCATTGACTCTGTCGGCTATGTTTTGCCATGCATGCTCCCTTTCTTTTGCAGCTGAGGCTGTGTTACTTTTTTTCCGCAAAATTTGCATGTTATCGGCATATGCTGCCATCAGAATTTCGGCCTCAAGCGCTGTAAAATACATTGACCGCGCCTTCTTTCCCTCCGTCTCCATGGTGACTCGCTTAATCTGTGCTCCACTAATCAGGGCTTTATGTATCCTCGTGCGCGCAGCTTAACTTGGGGTTAAAGCAACTCCGCGTTGACTGAACTAATTGTTATCAGCCTTTCTGAAACCGAATATTCCGAGTTGGACAGTTCGGGGTTACTCAACCCTGAGTATCGTTTTTCACTCTGAGTTTTCTAAACCGGCTTCCTGAAATAGGGCCCAGGTGGTGTAAGTGTCACAATACAGAAGCTATTCCTTTCCTTGCCTGTAGGTGGTGATATCCTCATTGAACGTCCCACTTTCTTCAAATACTGAAGAAGATGCAGGTCACATTGAAACAGCATCTGGGTGGAAATATATGAAATTGGTTGATTAGCATCTGTTTATCATATTCAGTCATTATTGCAAGAGGAGGTTATGCAGAATGTGCCTTTAAATACAGTCCTGATCAAATGTTTAAGACCACCTGAAAAATGGCCAAAAATCATACTTTGCCTGGTTGGATCTTAACAAGGTTCCAAGTTAGGGATGGGTATCGAAAACTGGTTCTTGTTGAGAACCGGTTTTCGATATCCATCCCTAACTTGCAACCTTGTTATGATTCAACCATGTAAAATCTGATTTTTTTTTTTGTTGCCATTTTTCAAGTGGTCTTAAACTTTTGACTGGGGAATGTATCTCTACTGTAAACTGAGATAAACCCATTTTGTGTGAATTTGAGCAGCGCATATGTAAATGGTGAAGACAGCTAATAAAAGAGGACCGTTTGACAGCTAGAAAATTTAATCAGTTAGTGATAAAAGTTGTTTGTTATTTCAGCTTTGAGGAGTTAAAAAGCATTTCTGCTTACAGACTTACAGATTGTACATGCGGTTTTTTGAATACTGTATTGTTTTAGTCAAACCACAATCAGTCATTATAATATAATACAATACAATAATATTTTTTAACAGCTTGGCCAGCAAAATCAATAAATATGTTTCTCCCAGCAAAAATTAAGCAAATAGGCAAAAAGATGTCACAAAAATAAATGCATTAAAAAACAATTTTTGCAGAGTAAAATTATCACAGATCCCCGTTGTGTATTCATGTCCACAACATGAACAACTCTCATTAAAATACTTATAACGCAGGTGCTCTGACTAAAATGTTTTTGTTTATTGTATATTTCATATAAAATCAAAACAGAGCAAAACAGATTGCTAACTCCAGGAGTATATTAGCCCTAATGCTGTTTTGCATTATATTTGAATGTACTGTAATGCATCAGAAAACATTACAAGCATATTAATAATATTAGAACAGTATGAGGTATCAGAGAATTCCATCAGAGTAGCATGACATCACCTTAAAAAAACATATAAGAACTCATATCTGTAATTGTTTGCAGTCATATATCAGTCCTCTGATGACAACAAACTTTCGTTCATGCTGAGCTTATGATGTGTTTCTATTCTCATTTAATATCAAAATGTTCCACATCTTAAACCAATTAAATTGATATGCTCAAACTCTACATTATCAAGCGTTTTTGCTATAAAATGTATTACTTCAATTTTAATAACGGAAGTTGGCCCTGTAATTTACCCAAATGTAATTAATAATTGTTAGTGATGTCTTCTTTACACTGAGGTTTCAGTAGCAGCAGGTTACCAGGCCCAGTCTTTTGTCCTTTTGCTTTGCACGTGTTTGAGTGATTTTTTTTTAAAATACTTTTGTCAGATCAGTCCTAATGAACGTTGTGTTGTGTAAACATATTTCTTGCTTTTATTTACAAGACCGGCAGCTGGACAATTGCAGTTTAGGTTTTATCCTGCCCTTTCTAATCGTTTCTTTTACTGCTTTGAGCTGTTTTCTTAGTCTTTGTTTCGCATATTGTGTTCTAGTAAAAAAAATCCCTTATTAAAATGTCTGGAATATTGTTCTGATTGTTGTTGATCTTTCGTTTTACACACGATGTGTGTAAGTTTGTCATATTTTGGGCAACGGTGAAGCCAGGACCTTAAACAAGTCCAAGTGCAAAAAAGTGATTGTTATTTGTTGAAAGCTGACGCATGTTTAAGGCTCATTATTTTTAAATAATTTTTGTAATCACAAACATCTGGTTTAATTTGGCTGTAAAAAATGTAAGGGATAATAGGAGCAGACTCTTTGTAACAGAGCTGTTTCTCATTTTTTGGCAGTACATGATGAGCAGGTGATGCATGTATCGCTTTACTGAGCGAGCTTTGTCCCAAACCATGTAATGGCACTTCACTGAATTTAGTTACTTCATCCAAATGGTTGTCTTTTTTTCCTGTGACATAAAATACAAACTGTAAGCTAGTACCCATCTTCAGTTTGACTGGATGATAAAACAAAGCCACTGAAATTTTAATTTACTGTGTGATGTAGTCAAGTATAAAATGTAATTAGGTAGCTTGGCTGACCCATTGTGTGTTAAAATAAAATGCATTGTGTCCATTTACTACATCAAACTTAATTTATTGTTAATGGTTTGTTGAGAGGAACATGTGCGTCCTTTTTTGTACTTATCTGTAACATTTACCTGAATAAAATAAATTCTAGTAAGTCTTTGACTTACATTCTACCCTCTTTACTGTAGACAACACCATTTGACAGTATCATTATAGTCACATTTGTAACTATGTGACTGAAGTGACGACTTTCAGCTGTAATTAAGTGGGTTTAATAAAAAAAAAAAAATCATGCACCAGCAGTTTCGGAATTACAGACATTTTTATACAGTCTCCTTTTCAGGAGCTCAAAATTAATTTGACTTGAATAATGAGCAGTTTGATGGGCAGGTGAAGCCTGTTCCATTGTTATTTCATGACAAATGAAGCAGAAAATATCTTGAGATGATTTCAGATTTAAAACCGCACAAATACAATTGAAATCTGAATTTATATTATACAGCTTTTGACTATAATTTTAAAATACAAGCTTCAAAGAGATTGCAACTTTAGGTAGGCTACCGTTAACCAAGCTGAAAACAATTTCAAAACGTTAGGCATTTCATTGTCCATGTTGACGGTCATAAAATGCTATCATGAGTAGAAAAATACAGAATTAAACCAGTGGTTTACATAAGGTGCAAAGTGCAAACCACTGGTTACACTCAAGAATTGAAAGGCCGGATTAGATTTTGCTAGAAAGAAAATCTAAAAGGAAAAAATGAGATGAAACCAACAAACCAATGCAGGGCCCAGGTATTGCATCATAATACCATGTCGAGCAAAATACAAAACTACTGAAAAAACAAGAAAGCGCTGTCATTGGCCTCCGCCTGGAAAACCAATCCTGTTTTGGGGGTTGTCTCATTGTTGCCTCTCTAGTGGGAGAATTGTTGGCAATTTCATCAACACCGAATCACTTAAAATGATTAATAACGTCCTCTGCTTCTTTACCCACCAGATCAATATCCCAGAAGTTTAATTGCCTTGATGCTGCGCTTTGATTAAAATGTCCCTCTATGTTTTTGTAAACAATATTCAGGAATGATCTTTTCCCAACAAATTCTGGACCTAACTGCAAAAAATGA